GGGAGACCTCTGGGCTGCCTCCATCCGCCCTCGTGATCAAATCACAGGTCCACTGCGGACCCCTGAGAGACCTCTGGGCTGTTCCCATCCGCCCTTGTGGCCGCTGCTCTCTGGGACCAATTCCCTCTCATGGTATGTGTGGAAGGTGGGCCCCAGGTTTTCAGAGCTTTTCCTGCTTTTTTTTGGACACTTTACGACACTACTAAGGTGCATCTTCTCGGCAGCCCTGATGAGGTGGGGCGGGAGTGAAGCCTCCAGGGTCTGAGGAGGGCTCACCTGAGACCTTTGCCTCTGCTGGGGGAGCGTGCCTGAGACCCCACCCTGCCCTCACCTGGCCCACGTCCCCTCTTACCCAAAGGTGAACCTGTCCACACTCCTGTCCACGTCGGTGGCCTGGTCCCCGAGGGCCTCAGGGTGGCGGATGGACACGCGGACCCCACTGACTGTGGCGTGGTGGATCCTGTGCAGGGCCCACTGCACCGAGATGGTGCTGGCTGTCACATTGGTGACCTCGAAGCTGTCCACAGGGCGGGGTCCTGGGGGGAACGGGCTGCTCAGCGGGGGCAGGCCCCTTCCTGCACCCGGAGCACAGTGGCTCAAGACCAGGCTTGGGAGGGTGCTGGGGGCCTCAGGTGTAGGAGAGGGCGTCCCATTGGCTGCTCAGGGCACTGGGGCTGGATGGGATGCCTGGGCTCCGGCCCGAGGCTGATGGCTGCAGAGGCCCACCGTGGGCCAGCCTGCTTTGCCGGGGCAGGGGTCTTAGTCTCCATTTAGATGTGACAGTGACATGGCAGGGAATGGGCTGGAGTCCCTCTGGACGAGTGACCTGGGCCTCCCCCCTTTTCCGTCCTAGGAGGATGGACACACAGAGCTCCCGGCAACTGCAGGGAAGCGGCCACTTGTGAGCTCTGCTCCACCCCCGGCCAGTCTCCTCCAAAGCGGGCGTGCCACTGCTGATGTGCCAGGCAGAGCAGAGGGCAGCCCCTGGCTCCGGGCAACCCGAATAGTGGACGGTGGTTCCTTCCACCCACCACAGCTGGCTAGAGTCCCCCTCTGCAGTGGGCAGGGCGGGCGCCGTCCTCACTCCAGATGCCCTCTGAGGGCAGACCTCACAGGGGCTTCTTCCTAAAACGGCCCAGGTGAGCCACCCCAACTCGGCCCCTGGCGGCTCCTGCTGCCGCCTGCTCGGTGCCACTGCACGTGAGTCCCAGGCTTCCCGCTGGCTTAGGTGTGTGCGGTGTCCTTGCTGTGTTGAGAACTCCAGCCCCTTGGTGGTCAACTGCTGCAGAACAGGCCCCTCTGGGCCCCTGGGTGGGTTTGAGCTGCCCTGAGTGACGCCTTTGGCATTGGCATCAAGCCGGGGTCCAGGCGTGGCCGGGAGATATTCCTCCCGTGAGAGCCACCTGGTCCAGTGTCCACTCCATCTCCACACACCCGCCACGCTACCCACAGTTTCACCACACTCACATGGCTGCCCCGCAGGGCCCAGCCTGGCGCTCAGGCCACAGAGTCCCCGGCCACCCACCCACCCATCCCACCACTCCGCAGCAGCCCACGCTCTCAGCACCTCTTCCTCTCCTTCAGCCTCAGCACCCCTCCCCCATTCTTGCTCCTGTGTCTGGAGGGCACAGGTACGTTGGGTGAGAGTCCCATGGCCCTGCACACACCTTGGTTCCCGCCCAGCCTGAGAACCCACCTAATGCAGCCGGCTCCATGGAGGGCCAGCCCTCTGCTGTCTCTCGGCCCTGCCCATCTGTCCACGGCCATGTTCTAGGGCGCCTTCCCCCTCCTGGGACTCCCTCCCCTTCCTGGAACTCCCTCCCCCTCCTGGGAATCCTTCCCCCTCCTGGGACTCCCTCCCC